GTATATTTTTATTCATCATAATTACAAGGCAAGGAAGGCACAGCGTTGATGGGTTCGGAACTATGTGAGTGGCATATGAATGGAGCGTACAAAGTCTTCACAGGGAAGCACCCAACTGATTTTAAGTTTTTGTTATCTTTAAATCGATCGAAAATTGCAAGATCTCTGTACAATCGGCTGCCCACAGCAGGATCAGCGCCCCCGCCCACACCGACTCACCGAGCGCCGTATCGCCGCCTTGGTATGGAGGCGAAATCCCGACAAATGGCCAATCAGGCCCGCATTCCCACACGCAATTCTCTGCTAACGAAAGGAGGGATATGTAACCTGTTCAAAAAGTTCAAAAGTTCAAAGGATGGCGCCGTTTGTTGCCTTCCCGGCCGAGGAGCGTCCCGAACGCAGATTCCTCCTGTATCGACGACGCCGGCTGTCGCTCGCTGCGGGAAGGAGAGAGGAGGCCTCGGGGAAGACCGTTCTCTGACCAGCAATTTGCGGCCTCGCTCTTTCGCGCAACGCCGCCGCTCTAGCGAAGCTTCTTTATAAGCAACGATTTAGGCAAAATTTTGTGTGCTGTGCGCGCTCGTATATGCGTGCCAGAGCAAGATTTTTTTTTTTTTTTTTTTTTTTTTGAGGGGTTAGATTATGCAACACAAATTACTCTGGGTCACAGAGCTTTTTAAAAGAAAACGTTTTTCCAAGAGCCGCGTGAACGCCGCGAAACTACTGTTAATGCCCCTGAGGTATGAACATGCTAATTTTCTTATAGGGATATTGTTAACTGGACAACATGAAGTAATTGTGGTACGACTACTATGCCTACTTAATTCGCCCTCACTATGCTGAGTTGACTCCCCATTCCCCAGGCCTATTTTACCCCCCCCCCCTCCTCCCCCCTCGGGCGGAGAAAAGGTTGCCGCCCTCGTCCAAAATGAATTGAAATTTATTAAGTCGCTGGAAATGGAAATAATGGAGCAGCTTACCCCCCCCCCCCCACACACACCATCCATCGCCTAACATGACCTGCTTCCCCTTCCCTTCCGCTCCTTCGCCGCCCCCCACCCAACTCCAGGCTCCTAGGCCGGCGGAAGAAATGTAGCGGCTTTCTGTAGCGGTTTTTCGCTCGAGTGCTGCGGANATATATTATATATATATGTATATATATATATTATATATATATATATATATATATATATATATATATATATATATATATTATATATATTATATATATGTATATATATATATATATATATATATATATGTGTGTGTGTGTGTGTGTGTGTGTGTGTGTGTGTGTGTGTGTGTGTGTGTGTGTGTGTGTGTGTGTGTGTGTGTGTGTGTGTGTATGTGTATGTGTATGTATGTATGTATGTATGTGTGTGTGTGTGGGTACAAATGCCTTAGTATTACCAGATCTAAAATAGGAAGCCGACATCAAACCAAAGAAAACAAAGAAAAAATGAAGGGTCCCGCAATATATAGGACGAGAATTTCTTAGTCATATGATATCAGAGAATAACGGTATTGTGGTTATGGTGCGATTGATCTTCGTGATGAGATGAATGCGAAGAGACAGCGAGAAAAAGTGGATGAGAAACCAGAGAAAATGGATAAAGAGGATAATGAGATAAGATCATTTCCGTCATCATCTTTTTCCTTTTTTTTTTTTTTGAAGGTAGAGCAAATTTGAATGAAGGTTTTTTGTTTTTGTTTTTGTATAAGGCAAAGAGAGATATCGAGCGAGGAGGAGAGAGGAACCGAGTGGGAGGGAGAGACATTGGAAGAGAGAGAGAGCGAGAAGGAAAGAGAGAGGGGAAGACAAAGAGAAACTGACAGAGAGACAGGAACGGAAACAAAACAGAGAAAAGAAATAAATATTAAATAAATGGAAAATATTTTTAAAAATCGAAAATGAACAATGAATGGAAAAAGGAAATGTAAGAGAAAGAGCTCAATCGAAAGAAAAGAGAATAATAACACACTATGCGAGCCAGACGGTTGTGGAAGGAGAGAAAATGCGCTTCAGTCACAGTACTCTCCATGACAGTAAAATTATCCCAGGCACCATTCATCATGACAGCCCATGCATGATATCACCTTGACGTGTGCATGAATAACAGATGCATACACATGGAGGTTCAAATCATGCATTCTATTCATAGTACATTTCCGAATTATCTTTTTTTATTTGTTTGTTTTTCTACTTATTTTCCTTTTGTTTATGTTTTTTGTTGTTGTTGTTGTTGTTTTGAGAAATCGCTGCTTCTGTTTCTCCTTAAGACTACCATAAACGACCAAGCGTAGGGGGTTGTAGGCAGAGGGGGAGGAAGAAGGAAGGGGGGTGTGGGGGAGGTAGTAAGAGGCCGAGGAGGAAAGGGGGGGCGTTGTGGGAGTATATAAGGCGGCGAAACCATGACATCCGAATCATTCTGTTCTGGAGATTCGTTCTTGTCGGACGTATTTTGTGTGTACGTGTGTTAAGCTCTTTGTAGGCCAGAAGGTGAGTTACACTTTAAAAACCATGGACATCTGAGATATGTTTATGTTTTGATTCTTAATGAAAGGTATTTTTGGATATTATAAAATGATGTTCCGATATCGACATAAGTGTGGGTTTGGATCAAAGCTACTCTAACGCCTTCGGAAATTGGATTTATATTTTCAATGTTTCAGGAAAAACGGGAAAGGGATTTGGGATACGAAACAACACCAAAAAATGAGATTTAGCAGGTATCCTACTCTCTCCCACCGGTAGTCGAAATATAAACCACTAATAATGATAATAGATGTATTACTAAAAAAAAATAAGCAATAAGCCACGGATTGCTCTTCCTCATAATTGGTCGTAACGAGGCTTTGGCCGCCAGATGGCAGACCCATAGGAGAGCTGCTCAGTCCTCCAGCATCACAGGCGATAATTTACATCGTAAGCTGTCTTTTAAAAATTCTTCTTTATGACAGCAGTGTGATTTATATGTGACAGAGACATGATTTTGCGGCATCAATAACCATAAGGCATAAGATGAGGTTTGTATGTCCTCATTTTTCATATTAGATTCTCCTTTCTGGCATTAGCGTTACGTTGCTAATTGTATCTAACAACAGCATTTGCGTTTTATATCATACTCGCCTCTTGCAAGTCTGTTACACCAAATACTTGAATTTCTGCGACATTTAGATTTTTTCAATCAAAATGATTACTCTATTTCTCTCTATCATATATCTGAAGGAGCGAAGTGATTAATATCACAAAATTGATATTAGTTCTTATAACATCCACAAAACTTGCGTATTTCGTGTCTGTTGTGAAAAATCTTAAAGTGACGTTGATTTAGTGATGAATTGCGGATGTTTCGTGGATTCTGGGACCATTTGTCACTGTGTTGTTGACGAATGTTCCACGCAGAAGACTGTTGTTCAACGAAGCCAGGGTTATTATGGACGCGAAGCACAGCGGTTATTTACGTTGAGAAAATAACTCCAATGAATGAGTGAATTTGCTTTAACTAATGAAATTATTACCGGTGGATGTCGACTTGTTGTCTGCCTGAGTATCCACTATCGTTGGGTATCGGGCAGTGACATGGTATCCGTCGCCCATTTAGCGCCATTGTGTCAAGTCAGCGGATATGGGAGAGCGGCTGGACCTCAAAATAGCAGCAGTGAGCCCATCTCTTTAGTCAGCAGCTACCTCGTATATTTTTATTCATCATAATTACAAGGCAAGGAAGGCACAGCGTTGATGGGTTTCGGAACTATGTGAGTGGCATATGAATGGAGCGTACAAAGTCTTCACAGGGAAGCACCCAACTGATTTTAAGTTTTTGTTATCTTTAAATCGATCGAAAATTGCAAGATCTCTGTACAATCGGCTGCCCACAGCAGGATCAGCGCCCCCGCCCACACCGACTCACCGAGCGCCGTATCGCCGCCTTGGTATGGAGGCGAAATCCCGACAAATGGCCAATCAGGCCCGCATTCCCACACGCAATTCTCTGCTAACGAAAGGAGGGATATGTAACCTGTTCAAAAAGTTCAAAAAGTTCAAAGGATGGCGCCGTTTGTTGCCTTCCCGGCCGAGGAGCGTCCCGAACGCAGATTCCTCCTGTATCGACGACGCCGGCTGTCGCTCGCTGCGGGAAGGAGAGAGGAGGCCTCGGGGAAGACCGTTCTCTGACCAGCAATTTGCGGCCTCGCTCTTTCGCGCAACGCCGCCGCTCTAGCGAAGCTTCTTTATAAGCAACGATTTAGGCAAAATTTTGTGTGCTGTGCGCGCTCGTATATGCGTGCCAGAGCAAGATTTTTTTTTTTTTTTTTTTTTTTTGAGGGGTTAGATTATGCAACACAAATTACTCTGGGTCACAGAGCTTTTTAAAAGAAAACGTTGTTTCCAAGAGCCGCGTGAACGCCGCGAAACTACTGTTAATGCCCCTGAGGTATGAACATGCTAATTTTCTTATAGGGATATTGTTAACTGGACAACATGAAGTAATTGTGGTACGACTACTATGCCTACTTAATTCGCCCTCACTATGCTGAGTTGACTCCCCATTCCCCAGGCCTATTTTACCCCCCCCCCCCTCCTCCCCCTCGGGCGGAGAAAAGGTTGCCGCCCTCGTCCAAAATGAATTGAAATTTTTAAGTCGCTGGAAATGGAAATAATGGAGCAGCTTACCCCCCCCCCCCCACACACACCATCCATCGCCTAACATGACCTGCTTCCCCTTCCCTTCCGCCTCCTTCGCCGCCCCCCACCCAACTCCAGGCTCCTAGGCCGGCGGAAGAAATGTAGCGCTTTCTGTAGCGGTTTTCGCTCGAGTGCTAGCGGAAGGGGGGGGGGGGGGTAAGCGCTGGCCGCACACCAAAACAACCACAATTAACTGTGCTTTTCCTCTCGCGGTAATCTTTGCCTTGAGGATACTATTTTAAAATGCCATTTGTCTTTGGTGAATATATTACGGTTTTTAGATATCTTTACATGTTATTTAATGAAATGCGTT